GGCAGAGAGTATTTGAATTTTCATTGTTTACACACTGTGAATTTAGCTTCTGGTCTCAAATTATCTGCCACATTGAAGCCTTTGAGAATATGGATGATAAGAATAAGACAATTCCTCTTTTTTTTTTTTTTTCCTTTTATATATATATATATATATATAAAATCTTCGATTGCCTTTTTTGCAATTTTACTTCATATTCTTTTTTTACTACTTTAATTTTAAAGTTCTGATATAATTCCCTATGCTGTTTAGATCATGAAAACATCAGGCATACTGTTGAATATTCTCTTAAAAGTATTACAAAGCAAAAGTCGGGTAAATGTTTTGCTCAAAGTTGTATGATTATCTGGTTTTATTCTGGAAATCTATAACTTACCAACCTAAATATCTGCAGTTGCTTCTTTCTGATAGTGTTTAAGCAGAACCCTCTTGGAAATAATAATAATGAAAGCTGCTTAAAAAATTGATGATGAGCCACAACCAATGTTTTTTCCTGTCAATTTACTGAGGCACTGAGTTTCAGTGCACCTTCAGATCACAGCAGGTAGTACTTATTTGATGATAAATTTGCCTGTGTCATTATAGTGATGTGGCTTAATTTACTTCTAGCATGTATAATGACAGTAACATTTTTAAAGTCAAAGGCCTTATGATAAAGCCAGACTTTTAGCTGTATTAATTGAAAATCTCATTTCTGTAACTAGAGATTTATACATCATTATTAACGATGCGTATATCTGGGAATGTTTAGAGTATGTCTGTACACACAGAAGTTCTTCTGTCACTCATTTTGGTCCTTTCTCTTAAGCTATAAATAAAGCAGCAGCATTAAAACTGCTGTCAAGTTACTGGAGTTAGCTGGTGCAGTGCTGGAGCCGAGGAGAGGGGAGTGGAACCTGCAAGCCAGTTCTGGCTGATAGCACTGTCCTGCTCCTGCCAGAGGGATGCAGAGAGGGGTAACAGGGTTACAGAACCTGTACAGTGACACCTGGCATCCTCAAAATTTTGGGGGTGGTGGCAGGGAGAGGCGGTGCCAGGTCCCACACCTTGGAGTGTATCACATCCCTGCTTGGAACTACCCCTCCACATCCAAGGCCAGGGGAAAAAATCCAACAGCATCATCATCCCCTGGTCATGCAGGAAACTGGCCTGCCTGTGATTTTGGGAACAGTCACCCAGGTTATGGGGTATGTGCTGGGTCTCTCTGACCTTTTCACATTGGGGGCAAAGCAGCCTGGTATCTGTTTTACTTCGTTAAAGTGCACCACTTTGTGTTTTATTCTGCAAGGAGCACAAGCAAATGCTTAAATCCAATGCGCACCTGACACTCATATGTGCTCAGGACCTCTGTAAGCAAGTGGCAGAGCGTTTGCAAAGTTTCCAAGGGGGACGGGGAGACGCAGGCGCTCATCAGCGCTGATTAAACAACAGAAGCAGCAGAATGTGCCAGGGCTCGGGAGTCCCAATCAAAGCCCATTTAGAAGGGCTCTGGAGAGAGGAGACACGGAGCAGAGGATGTCCTCGCTCTGCTTCTGTCAGCTCCCAGCAGTTCATTGAACAAATTAGGTTTCACTCTCAGATCTGCAAATGACAGTGGATGGCATTTACCAGATGGCATGTGTACTGGGGCTGTCACACCGTTATAGGTTTAAAAATAAAGTATGGGAAGAAGATAATGAATATACACTTCCTAATTTCAAGAATTTTGTTCTATCCCTGTCAGGCATTAGGCACTTGACTTGTGAGTGTTGAAAGACTTTCAATGTGTGCGTACTAAAGGACATAGCCTAGCATGTAACTAGGTTGTTTTACTTTAAAAATTGGCATTGAAATAAGCAATTTACATAATTCCTTAAAAAAGTGTTTTTTCTTCTTAATGACTTTCAACCCACTGACAAGTGAAATGCATTGTTTAACTGGAATGTCATCATTGGGAATATTTAATATCAAGAGTAATCTTTCTCACAAACCTGATGATTCTACTCTGAAGATTTCCGTCTTTACCATTTTTCCTCATTTGTTGAAAAATAAAAATTGAGCAACTCATGTCTTACTTTTTCGAGGATACTGATGTATATTTTAAAATATTTTTATTTTATTTTATCTCAAAACTGAATTACTTTGTATGGGATCTTACTTTAAAATACTGATTTGGGGAGATGACAGTAAGGTATTGAGAGACCAAGGAAACACAGTATGTAATACATGGAATTTTCTAAACAAAATACTGGGCTTTTTTCCTTATTTATTAGTTTCTCACAGTTTTTCCAGTGCCAACACAAAAATGAAATATAGATTAGAAAATAAAATGATTATATGCATCGTATTTCTCACTTTTTCCCTTTCTTTTTGTTAGGTATTTTTGTGTTAATTAAAGGACTGCTTTAGCTCCGATTGAAGTCATTTGGGAGGATTCTTTTATTTTCAGTGATGATTTTATCAGGCCAATGATGAATTGCTTATTAGGTTTGTTGCTTTTGCAGCATACTAGCTTCTGGGACTGCAGGGAAAAAGCAGGGCAGATTTATAAATAAATGTGGTCAGCATATCAATGTATATTGGTAGCAGAAAGGTAAGTTCAGCTAAATCCTGGTGAGCAAAACATGTTTTTCCTCTGTGCATTATACTCACTTATCTGTGTTCTAAGAAAATGGTGCAAACAAAGGGATCAGATTGTTAGTGAAGAGAATTCTCAATTACTAGGAAACAAAAGTCAGGCTGCCATATCAGCCAGCCTAATTGTAAATAAAACCTTTTTCTGCCTCTGTATGGGTAAGGTCTGCATTAAACACTCTTGATAATATGCAATGGGATGTGGTTTATTGGCAGCATGGGGAAAACCATTGACAGTTATACTTCCCAAAGTCTTTCTTGCTCTCAGGGACATTCTTCACTTACTGACCAAGTATGGATGGATCACAGTAACCTGTTTCTATTTCCATTTGCGTGCACAGTCAGTTACAGAATTCCAGGATTTCTTTTTCAGCCAGCTCTACGCAAGTTTCTGGTGCACATGACTGGTGTTCACACAGGGTTTGCTTGTAGGTTGAAGAACTCAAGACATCTTGAAGGGCCTTAAATTTCAATGAATATCAACCCTCTTTAAGCTGTCTTAGTTTTGAAGCTTAAAAAACGTTGGCTTTTTGATATTCAATGTAGTTCAATGGTAGGTTTCCCCTGCATGACAGCAGTGTGCCACCAGACTTCCGGAGCCCGAGAAAGTAGGAAACAGTTTCTAACACTTTCTTGGGTCTTTTGTACAGATGGTTCCAAATTTTGCCATCACCACCTGGAAATACAGTATATACAAAAGAGAAGTCCTGCCACAAGGGGTGGTGAGATCGCACCTCGAATACTGGGTTCAGTTTTGGGCCTCTCACTCCAAGAAAGATGTTGAAGTGATGGAGCATGTCCAAAGAACAACAAGGCTGGTGAAGGGTCTAGAGCACAGGTCTTATAAGGAGCAGCTGAGGGAACTGGGTTTGTTTAGCCTGGAGGAAAGGAGGCTTAGGGGAGACCTTATCATTCTCTACAGTTACCTGAAAGGAGGTTGTAGTGAGGTGGGGGTCAGTCTCTTCTCCCATTGAACAAGTAATAGGACAAGAGGAATGGCCTCAGGTTGTGCCAGGGCAGGTTTAGATTGGATATTAGGAAAAATTTCTTCACTGAAAGGGTTGTCAAGCATTGGAACAGGCTGCCTAGGGAAGTGGTTGAGTCATCATCCCTGGAGGTATTTAATAGACGTGTAGATGTGGCACTTAGGAACATGGTTTAGTGGTGGACTTGGCAGTGTTAGGTTTATGGTTGAACTCAATGATCTTGAGGGTCTTTGCCAACCTAAAAGACTCTATGACTCTGTTTCTGTGATCTATGATCTTAACCTCTCACAGAGCATGGGAGCTCTCTGGCCCTGCTGTTGGGATCTTTGCTGGGCACACAGATGATCTTTCCTCAGCTGCTCACACTTGCTGTGCTGCATCATATTACATTATGGGGAAAGGGAAGTAAAGTAAAAAAAACACTATCTCTGAGGTTAATAATTAACCATTTCATAATTGCGGTGCTTCTTCCACCTTCCTGAGCAGTATTGTCAAACTCAGTGGAAAAACTAGGAACAGGTATGGTAGTAACATATGAGTGGTTGTACTGGGTCAGGCTGAAGCTCATCTTGGCCCAGTGTCCTGTCTCCAGGATCAATCAGCAGATTATAATGGAAAAACAGAAAGAAAGAAGCTGACAACTACAAATTGAACCTGGTCTCATATACCATCCCATTTTTCTATCAATCAGCCACTTGGTGACTTTCTGAACAAGAAGTTGAATCCAGACCACTCTGCTAAGGACTATAGCATCCTACAGCATCCTGTGCTGAAGACTATAGCATCCTGTGGTAAAGAATGTAGCATCCTAAAGACTGTAACATCCTAAAGACTATAGCATCCTACAGCAATGAATTCTGTGGTTCACTCATGTGCATTGCATAGTAATGATAGTCCTCTTTGTATAATACTGACTGATTTCAGTATCCAAATGGTGCATTTTATGACAGCATATGTAGTCTTTTTTAGTGTGAGTGCCAAACTGGTGTTTAATTCATTTAAAAAAAAATAAAACTCAAAACATTTGCAAAACAGCAACAGTTATTCATAGCATACAAAATGTAAATGCTTTGTGCTGTGATGTTTGGGTGTCATTAGAATAATTTTAAAAGCAAGTGATTTAATTGTGTTTGTGCTAATTTTAATGTTTACAAATTAGAGAAAGATGCATTTAGTGGTCCATTGGGAAAGGGCTTTGAAACCTCGCATGTCTTCCAGTCTACAGTACTGTCATTTATTCATACTCTTTCTAATACCAGAGTGATTTGCTTTTTAGATTACTCTTGCATGGAAAGCAAGTCTCAGGAGTCCTCAGCTCCATGGAATTCAAAACCAGGTTCACGTGCATCTGTGTGTGCTTCGATAGATATTTAACCAACTTCTTTTCTTCTTCTTTTCAAGGTCCCCGAGTCCCGATGGTGACTGTTCACAACACAACCGATGCACAGAGTAAGAATGGGCTTGAGCCTTCCAATTCTTCAGAGAAAAGTAGCCAGGCAGGACACTGAGATGATGTAGCTGCTCTTTGGTAAACTGACTCTAGCAGGGAGCCCAGACTCTGCCTAAATGCAAGCTTTCTGCAAGTCAGAGGGACTTGCAGAGCTGTTGTGCTGCCATCTCAAAAGCTTTCTGTTTGGGGTATGAAGACAGTGGTTTGGGCATGATGTTTGTTATCAACTTACTTAAAAACTGCACAGTCCGGATCTCTCTCTTTCTTTTTGTTAGTCTTTCGCAAACATTGATTTACATCCTACTCAAAAATAAGAAACGTTTAGCTTTATCCACGATTTTCAAAAAAAAAAATCACTCTATATGGATTACCAGGTTGAAAGAGATACTGCAGAGGAGTGAACTCCACAAGTTGTACCCCTGCCTGGTTTCCTGATCTGTTCACGGGCATTGTAGAACTTATTGTTTGGTAGGGCTTTTTCACGCTAATGATTCACATCTATGCCAGTGTGAAGCTGGAATTATTCCAAATAGAGGGAGTTCTCCCTCAAAATCTTTGGTACTGGCTGTAGCCATTGCCAGACTAATTAGGACTCCCTGTAGAGCCCAGTGAGCCATGAGGTTTATGGGGTTCCTCCTTCACACCTGTAGTAATACAAATTATTTTTTTCCCCAAGCCAGGGTGGCAGGAAGCCTCAGATAGACAGCCTTTCTCTGTCCCTTCTCTACAGGGGTCAAAAACCAAGGTGCCCCCTTCTGTCTTTCAACAGTCTCAGGAGACCTCATGGCAGGGTGTGGGACTGAATCTTATGTGAAACCAAGATTTATCTGTTCCTGTCAGTTTGATGGTAGACTCTTATCTTTCATTTTAATGTAAAATTTATCCCAGCCTTAGCCTGAAGTTAGTGAGTTCAGGCATTGCTAGGAACCAAATAATAAGCAACACCATTACTATGGCTGCTCTATACGTGGCCAGTTTATCTGGTATCAGTTTAGCTTAACTGGATTTACAGCTCACTGCTGTTGGCTGCAAAGGAGCAAACCAGGGAATTTGGCTCTCAAACTAAAGGTTTTCTTTGAAATATGAGCTGCTTCATTTCCCACTGAAGATAGTAAGTGTCAAAGGAAAAACTCCTGTGGCACCAGGACATGTAAGAAAAAGTACAGGATCCATCTTGCTTTATACAGTTTGTGTGTGTTCCCTGTTTTATTCCCTGTTTTCTCAATTTCTGTTGGCAAGATGCATTTCAAGCCTTTACCCCACCTAGAAAAGTTTTGCTTGTAAGCAGGATGTGTAGAGTGCAATCCCAAATTATGATTTAATTTTTTAAAATCAAATTTAAAATCTGATTTGTGGCATATTGTATCCTTTGCCATTAAAATGGAAATACTCAGCAGTGTTCCATTTAGTGTCAACAGTGTCCAATATTGTTAATGAGATGTATTGTACACTTAACTGTAATTTATCCTTCCATCATTTTCCATAAATTTTTTTCCAATTAAAATGTTCCTTTGCAGAAAAAGACATGCATAAAATTTAGCAGCATGCTGGAGCAAGTTAGATTAAAGCAATATACTGCTTCATGACTGTCCTGTAAGAGCAGCAAGAAAGATCTTTGCTGCCAAAGCAAAGAAGCACAATTTACCCTGGATGATGGCTTAGACCATCTGCCATCATCTTGCTTACAGGGTGACCATGAGATAAATATCTCATTTCCTCGTGACTCAGTTTCCCCACTGGTCTATAATTTCTGGATAGAAGTGCCATGATGGAGCTGACTGATTTTGCTGTCCAGAGGAGGGCTCTTACTGTGGAGCCAGGGTTATTGCTGCTGGCAGTAGCAGGCGAGGGGTATAGCTCCATGTGCTGGTCTGGTCCCTTGTGAAACTATTTCTGCTTTAAATGAGCAAAAGTTGGCACTTGTAGCTGCTCTGGCAATAATACAGGAATTGCTTTATTTAAGTACTACTGAAAGCAAATGGCAAGACCCTAGCTTTTCAATCTTTCTGCACCAGTGACCACTCATATCTCAGTCTGTGCACAAGGATGTATCAACTCTTCTTCTTCCCAGCAGAGACCTGGGCTCAGCAGTGTCCTGGCAGATCACAACCTCAGAGCAGCCCTGGATATGCCTGCAAGGCTCTTCAGCACACAGAGCATTTTGCCACGGGGCCAGGAGAGTTATCTCTGACCTACAGCTCCACAGTGGCTTTCTTTTTTCCCCCCTTAAACACAATACCTTAAGTTTACCATAGGCATGGAGATGGCTGACTGGTTATAACAGCATGTACAGGATAGTGTACAGGATATATCATGAGCTGTGATACAACCTCCTGTATAGCTTTTATAAAATGCTTTCAGGTGAATAGAATAAGAGATACTATAAAGCGGAAACAGCAAATGAAGCGCTTGAAAAAGTAACATAAAACACACCAAAACTAGTTGAATTTTGACATATATATATGTGTAGCATTTATTACATAGGAAACTCGATCTAGTCTTGCACAAAACACATCCCCTACTGAAATTCATGATTTTCTGCATATGATTAGCATTTCCCCTGGTTCCTTTTTTTTCCCCTCATTCTTTTGCTTTTGAATAAAGGGCAACTGACAGTTGCATGTTACTGAATTTACTTATTTAATATGAGCCCATTACTCTATAAAGGGAGTTTGCCTCTGTATTCTGCAATAATCTGATAATAGTGAGTTGCACTGAATATTATAGCGTGCTTACATTTAATTAAGCAATGACCATTTGTACTCCACAGACACAAGCTCCCTGTGGTCCTAAAGCAGAAAAGAAAGTCCTTTAGGAGATATGCCAATCTTTTTTATTTCGTCCACAGTCTTCCTGGCTTTCTGTGAATGCAATTATATGAACAAATAAAACGGCTTGACTAAATTCCCCTACGTGGCAAGCCCCTTTCTGCTGATAAAGCTACTTGTGTGTGCCATAATTAAATGAGAATCTTAATATTTAACTAAACCTAATAGGCTGTTGTTTTGGCACTTTTGTGGGGGGTTGTAGTTTCAATAGAGATGAACCAGGCTTTTCAGAAGCAGTGTGAATAGTCATTGAACCAATATAATATTACTGAAAGATCTGTGAAATATATTAACTGGGAAGGGTGTGTTTTTGTGCTGTGCCTGCCTATTAAGCAGAGAGGCAATGAAAGCATGATAATCGGGCGCCATAAGTATTATTTGAGCAGCTGGGGTTACACATCTATTTATCAGCATGCCTCGAAAGGGAAGTTACAGTCAGTAAAACACATAATTTGGTGTAAACCTCAAAACCTCCTTGGGTTCACATGTCAGAGGTGATGCCCTGGATTCCCCTGGTTCAAACCCAATCCGATGCCATGAAGATGAGCAATGCAACGGGCTTCCCAGGCCAGGATTCACTGCCAACACAGTGGGATTCCCCCAGCCCTTGAATCCCTTCCCCATGGAGCTCAGAAGCCTCACCATCACCAGAAGACATTTCCCACCAACTAGGACATACAACCTGAAACGTCTCCTAAAGATGGGCCCTTTCCTTACCAGCTGGGAAGGACCTGTTTTTTTCTGAGGTTGTAGGTTAGAGCACATAGGCAGGATATGGGGAACAAATGTTAAATCCTGAGAAGGAGGAAGGAAACCTCTATTTCAGCCCCAGAGAGTCCCTGTATAAGACACACAAGCAAAATGAACAATTCTCAAAACACTCTGAAAGTCAAAACTGCTCCAAAACCTGACGCTGCAGGTCTGTATGATCTTCATCCACTCTTCTCTCCCCAGGGCTTTCCTTCTCATGGATTTTCTCTCATGTAGCAGCACAACCTTGTTCTGAAGCCCTCCACAGTCTCCTCCCTTTCCCCACTTATTATGTATAACTTGGGCACGTACTTAGTATCATTTGATACCTAGCTTTGCGTGGCAGATATATGTCTGACTGGGACCCAGCTGCCTCAACACAGAAGGTCACATTCCCATTTGCTGTAAATCAGCTGAATGTCACTGTTTTCAGGAATGTAGCTTTTTGCCAATGCAGAACCTGAAAGATGTTTCAAAGACTTAACTGAATTAGACATCTGTGAGGACTAGAAGGAAATTCTTTCATAAGGAAACTTGTGTTACAAATACTAAGGTGGCTATAAAATGTTCAAATGCTTTTTCACAAACAAAGCCAAAAGTTTTTGTGATCTTGTCCTTCTTCTTTCAGAAATCTTTGAGCTGGAGGTAAATGAAAATGTGCAGCTGACTGTAAATGACAGGCAAATGCCTAAGGTAGAATACATGGAAATCAAGATAGACGATTATAGTAAGTAGCATCTTTCCTCTCTCTTATTTTTCTTTTTCGCTGCTATTGCTGTGAAACGTTACAGTCATCTTGGCTAGACTGGCAGGAGGAAAAATGACTTTGGCTCTCAATAAACTCACACTTTGCAAAGCACTCTCTTAGGATGTGCTACATAAGGAGGTTATTACAGAGACAGGATTTGATGAGAATGCAGCTGAAGAAAGGCAAAAATTATAGGGTTGGGGGTTTCTTTCCTTTTAACATTTTCTTTGTAGAGAAAAAGCCACTCCAGGAAATGACACGGTGTGGTGCCCCCATTGTTCAGGGTATTTTCCCTAGTAGGACTGGTGTATTATTTGAGATGGGTTTGAAGTGGGATACTGTATGTGCTTGCTGAGTACAGCTGTGGCTGCCTTTCAGTATACAATACTGAACTGCAGTGGATGAAGATGACTCGAAAATGACTGCCCATCGGAGTCATTCAGGATTCTTTGAGAAAGCCATATCATTTGATAGGGTTGAAAAAAAAACAGCTTTATGAGAAAAGCCAAAAGAGATTTGACATGGAGACAAGAAGGCAGAAGCTTGGAGCAGTTTATATCTGCAGCTGGTACATTATTTGTACCACTTGTATAATCATTCCCCACATATCTATATGCCAAAGAGGCAGGCAGAAAAGCCCAGTGGCAAACAGACAAGCATTTTCTGCCTGTGTCTGTGGTTGTACATGAAACAACCCAAAAAGCATCTCCTCTGGCTGTAAGCAGATATCTTACCTATATGTGGAAAATCCACATACTCAGAGTTGTGCAATGTCTTCCAAAAATCCCAGTTTGAGTGTATGGTGCCAACTCTAAAAAAAAAAAAAAAACCAAAGAACCTGGGTTCAAAGTATGACCCATAATATTTTCCATGCAAGAAAGGAGTGTACCTCCTAGATTGGATGCAGTGAAATGAAAGCAGTGAGGTGTGATGGATGGCAGGTTACTAATTTCAACCATTACCAGGTGTTATAAAATGTGAAGCAAAGGCTGAGAGACAGTTACTATTTGAAAAGGATAATAATGGCCCTAAAATGTTCTGCTTGCCACATGGGCATTAGGAACATAAACCAGTGCATGAAATAACAAGAACAGATGTTCATTTCCAGGCCTTATGGGCAGGAAAAGATGGGAAAGAGCCTGTCATAAAGATCACATCTATCCCCACCATGAGCCAGTTCGCAGTGGCACTGGCAGCTTATTAAGAATAACTCAGCTTGATGCTAAATTTCTTAACTGCAGGTATCACTGAAATGTGATTCTGGTCATTTAGCCTACAAAATATATGTGCGTGTATAATAAATACAAGCTGGCTGCAGCCATGTGGCTGTTATTCTGTGCCCTCCCTGTATTTTCAAAGCTTTGGGTTTAACAGCCTTGCAAACACTGCACGTAGTACTTAGTTATATTTAAAGTCAAGCGATGGACTTTTTGGCTGTCCCTGGGCCATTGATCCAATTTGCAGCTATTAGCATTCAGATGGAATAACTAATTAGGCGGAGTGTCAGACAATAATTGTAAAGCAAACCACTTAAACCGCGTGGTTAATCTGTGTATTAATCTACTGAAAATGCTCCTAATACTGATTTAATTGTCAGGCCTTTGCTAATCTGGATTGTAGTTAACATTTTAAAAATATGTGTGTTCTCGTTAATGTGGAAAGCATTTGTATGGCAGCATTTTTGGCTATCGATACAAAGCCCTAGGAAGCAGTTAAATGAAGTTTTGGTGAGCATGTCCCTCACTTACATTAGTTCAGTACCAGTATAACGATGTGGAGTTCAGCACAGTTACCTCCTGTTTTACAGCAAAATTGAGCCCTCTGGAAGTTAGGATTAAAATACATGTTTCTCTATCTGTCTTCATACCATTATAGCAAAATAATCCTATTCTCTCCCCCAGTCACCACACTTAATTGGGTTTTAAATTATAATTTTCATCACCGATTTTCCTTCTCCTCTGCTGCCCTGAAATATTGATTTCTGGCTGCATCACTCATCCAGCTGCCAAAAAGGAAAATTATAGCTATTGCCAGATGTTAATTGGATGCTGTAAAAGTGATGCATGACTGAACAGCTCATGCTGTACTCCCGATTTACATTTCTTGTCACCTCGGCTATCACAATATGGGTCTTTTCTTTGATAACATCTGTGTTTCTAAGGTGTTATTTACCAGTGCCTCTGATGAAATGCCATTTTGGTCCTGCTTGTAAGTGGCTAAAGCACCAGAAAAATCTATTAGAATTATGTCGGCATTCCCACACTGAAGACATGTTGTTATTTGTGGTGTTTTTCCTAGAACTGCCAATGCAGATCTTAAAGCCAGCAACTTTTTCGGACACTGCGCACTACCCCTTGCTTTTGGTTGTGTAAGTTATTGCTTGTCCTTTCTTTCTGTTCACATTATTAGTGTAGAAACCTTGGACGTGATCAGGGCCTTTTAAGATATGTTTTTTACAATGAATGACAGACTACTTTAGCACCTAAATCCAGCACGTTGGTCCCTACCCTCTGTCTCACCTTGGAGCTGGGAGAGGCTAGATATACGTACCCTCTCTCCCGTGTCTGAGCCAAGAGTTTCAGCTCCCAAGAGGGTACCCTAGTGAAATCCTGCAGAGTAAATTCTAGGATTTTGTAGTTGCCCCACATACACTTGCAAGTCAATAATTTTAGTGGCAAAAACAGGAGAAGGAGGAATAAAAGATGGATGTTGACTTTCTGTCCCAGTGCTTAGGGCACTCACCCTGTGCGTAACAGGTAATTTTAGAATGAGGTGCAGTCAGCCCTACTACAGCTTAAATTTTAGATGCCCTCATGCAGCAATCCTTCCCATGTACATGCTGATGTTCCCTGAAGTGACAGTAAAGAGAGAGCTAGAAACCTTTGAAGATCTCCACGACGTTAGCATTTATATTAGGTAGGTATGATTTCCTCCTGGCAGGCATAGCAGATGGGTTTTTCTTTATGCAACATTTAGTAATAATAATACACATTACTGAGTCTTTTTCTGGCAATTTGGAAAGAAGCTGGGGAAGGGAAGGCACTGACCTTGGAAGAACCTGCTTGGCCCTGCTGCTTCCCACTGCATCGCTTGATCTCTGCCAGGGAGCACCCCACGAGAGAGAAGCCTCTTGCAGGAGTGATGGATGCCTGACGAATGCCTGAACACCATCCTGCACATCCCTCCATGAAGGACAAAAACACTGCAATAAGCATGTCGTTACATCACAAAATTACTGCAGAGAAAATGTACTTCATTATACAAGTGCTTGAGGAAGATTGGTACTCATCAAGCTAACAGCACTTGATTAGGCTGCCTCTGAAGCTGGATGTGCTCGAATAAATGCAAATGACTGAAGTCACATGCACATTAAAATCCTGCAGTGAGTTGCCTGATGTCTCCGAGAACCCCAAAAAGGACAAGAAGTAGATGGAAGTACCAGTGTCTCTACAGTAATCCCAGTCCTAAAATACTCCTTATAATCATCATCATCATCTCATGATTTTTCCTAGATGTCTGTTGAAGTGGGGTCAACATTTCTCAAGACAGTTTCTCTGTGCAGGACTGGGCCTGAAGAAGAAGGGTGAAGAGGGAGACTTGCCCACTCCTTACCCTTACCCACCAATTTTGGGCCAACCTGAGCATTTTTAAGATGTCAGTTTTATCACTTTAAAAGTGCTCTTTCCCTCTATACTTGTGTGAAGAAGTGGTGACAGAAGTGATTGGCAGCTCCATCTACAACCACTTGTGAGAAGCCCACTGGAGAGGGAAGGCTCGGACTGGGTGAAGGGGGGCAGTAAATGAAACCCCAGTAAAGGAAAGGGACTGATGTCTGCAGGCTTCATCCAACATATTTAGGCAGTTCCAGCACTCCCCAAAGCCAGACTCCTCACAGAAACCCCTCCACCAGAAAAATCCCTGTAGAAAATATCTATAGATTAGAGCAGGCATAAATGGGGAAAAGTCCACTGACCTCTGCACTGCTGCCCGGGTTTACTCACAGCAGAAATCCTGCCCGGTTAGTGATGTGCTTGCTAGGATTGTTCAAAGCTCAGCTTAGCGCAGCAATAGTTGCTGTGCAAGGAGGGAGGCAGAAACCAGCCTGCAGCCTCCACCCCAGCCTCAAAAACCATCCCGCACAACCAGCCTTCTGCAGGTCATTGCTGCAGAGACTGGGTCCCCCCTTCTTGAAATCAGCACTGCCTTACAGTGCATGTGGGTCCTCACTGCCACGCCAAGCTCATGGGCCTGGGGAGGGCGTTTGGCCCATGCTTGGTGGTGTTGCCTTTGCTTGATACCTGTTTCTGTTTCAGAGACGGGACGCCTGGCAGCCAGATTGTAACGGAGAGATTTGAGGTGACGTGGGAAAGCGTCATGGTCAGCTCTCACAACGCCATCGTGCTGAAGTTCGACGGCCGCGGGAGTGGCTTCCAAGGCACTAAGCTATTGCACGAGGTTAAGAGAAGGCTGGGCCTTTTGGAAGAGAAGGATCAGTTGGAAGCTGTCCGGTGAATGACACTGTTATTGAAGAAATTAATTCACTGATGATAATTAACCCAAGACTGTCATAGGTCCTGGTTGCTTTCGTGGTGAAAGCAACAGGGTAGAGCAAGGAGATGGGAGGGAAGGACAGTGTAGTCATACAGCTGTGACCGAGTGGTGGCTGGTGAGAGAGAGCTCATGCCAGCCAGTACAGAGGGAGAAAAACACGCCTTAAACAGAGCTAAATTAGAGCACTGTATCACATGTTCAAAGCAAATCCTATTTATTTTTAGCTCTGTACAGTCATACAGCTACAAACAAGTAAGCTTGAATATCAGCTCTTACATTATTTTTTTGCTAGCCTGGTAGTTGGAAAAAAATCTATCTTTAAACCCTTAAACTTTTTAAAACAGAAAAAACAGTGCAAAAACCTAAATGTCAAATCCTGTCTTCATGTTAGATTTATACTTCACATAATCATGATAAAAACACTATCAGAGGAGTGCAATAGCATCAGCTTTATTATGACTTTCAGAGGTAGTGCAGGTTATTTGTTGCCATTGCTTGGTCAATTCCAAAACAACAGGTTGCAAGATTAAATCAAACAGAGACTCATGTGAAAGCGGAGTGTAGCAGTGTGACTTTAGTTTGTCTACATCATTCTTCTGTGGCCACCCCAAATTCAAGCTTATAAAAATCACACTATGTTCACTATATCTAAGGGAAAAATATTTTTAACCCATTGTTTCTCCTCTCTCATGTTCTAGGACAATGCTGAAGGAGCATTACATTGATAAAATGCGAGTCGGTGTATTTGGGAAGGTAACGTTCTCCCGTTGTTTCTCTGTGCTGTTCTAGTTGGCTGATGTGGCTAAGCGACTGAGCTAAATCCTGATTTATTGAATATGTCAGTGGTGACTTTTTTATTATTATTTATTTTTGAGATAGACTGCTTCTTGCTCAGAGATGCTAAAGATGAAAGCTTTCATTTTATCAATGTATTCATCAATTTTTTTTTAAATTAACTTCCAAGTGCAGAAAGTGACTATTTGTCAGAAAAACACTGTCAGATAATTAATTATTTTTGCCCTTGCAAACTATCATTTTGTTTTCACCTTGTCTCTTAAGGCCTATGGGAATGTGGGTAGATCTAGCTCATGTCGTACAAATGTACAACAACAATATTGATTTCTGAGGCTGATTCACACCGCAACGTGCATTCAGCTGGGAAACAGCAATTGCAAAGTACACACATTTTGAAATGAGAATGGGACTGCAAGTAGAAATTGTTTATTGTGGGAGATACAGGCTTAGAGTGGGTGAAGAGAAATGTACATGCAGCAGCATCTCTGCAAGGAATTGTTAACAGACTGACGGCAGATGCTGAAATTGTGATATCCATTTTAAATAACAAAAGGCTAGGGTAATATTTTGGAGAGGTAACATATCTGATTAGACCTACAGCCATAAATTGGGATGCAAAGAAGCAAGTTCTTGAGCACACAACCCTCCTGCCTTCAGGAGAGTTCAACAAGTATAGAGCTCATCTTCAGCCACATCTGCTGAGACCAGGGAGATGTCCCTTACTTCATGTTTTCTCAGGGCAAGGTATTAAGAGCTCTATAATGACTGAGGGTTTGCTGCAAGGTCTCAGCTGCCCTGTTCCTGTACCCAAAAGCAGCAGCACCTCATGGCAGGACCACTGATGCCCCCGCCCCATTTGTGTTCCAGGATTATGGTGGCTACCTGAGCACTTACATGCTTCCAGCTGGTGAAGAGAACCAGGTGTTCGCCTGTGGAGCTGCTCTTTCCCCACTGACAGACTTCAAACTATATGGTAAACCCCATCCCAGAGCCCACAGACCTGACCACAAATGATGTGTCTGCCCTAGACTTTCCCACTTATCTTCTCTTTCTTCTCCAAGATCCTGCCTGTTTTGCATTGTGTGACTTCTTAGGACTAGCTATAAACCCTTTTTTGTCTCTGAAGAGCAGTTTTGCTTGCACCAGCGGGACCAACCATGGTGGTCAGAGTAATAAAGCAACTTTTATTACTCACTCCTTTTAAATAAAGGAGAATTGGCTCTAAACCCCTCTAACCTCTGACATCAACCTGCACCACTGCCTTGAATGAGCTTCTTTTTTGCCTGAACCATCCATCCATGGGAGCTGTGGTCCACCCTGCCTGCCTCGTCCTCTCTCTGATGACAATACTCCACTGCACATGATGGTCCTTTCTCTTGGGGACACCAGTTCCCTTTGCATTTAGTGCCAGCGAAAATCAGGGGGCTGCCAGGAAAGTCACTGGGGTTAAGCCAGCCTTAAGGTCCCATACAGTTAACCCCGAGACCAACGGAAGCTTACAGTAGTCTGTTGATGGAAATGGTCGCGTGTGAAAGGAGAAATGAACGCAACACGATAGTGCTCTTCTCCTCTCATACCTGGGTTGCATTAAGGGTAAAAAAAGGCTCTTTTGTAACTTATTTAGATACCCTAAGTACACATTGGTAATGAAAGACTGTAGTATCATACATATTCTTACTGAATTTTCAAAAACTTCTAGAAATATGTCCTGAGTAACTAAGGCAATTTTAGAAAAGAAGGCCTTCTTTAGCATTTGCAATATTTGTCTCGGAAGCACCAATGTACTCACTTATGACTGAAAGAGATATTTTCTTTTTTTCTTTTCAAGCTTCTGCCTTTTCTGAAAGATACTTGGGCTTGCATGGGATTGATAACAGAGCATACGAGGTAAGTGCATGGACACTGCATTTCCCCGATAAAATGTGAACAGGGTTTTAACTCTCCTCAATGTATTCTCTTTTGGGGACAAAAAAGGGATATGCAAGATGGACTAGTAAAACGCTATGTTTAAAAGACAGCAAGGTGTATTTCAGCCTGTACACTGCTTTTGTTGTCTTAATAGTAATGATGGATATGTTTCTTATTGATTAGCCTTCATGTCTGCCTCTCTAAATTGGGTAAATACAGTTATTCCAGTTTTACAGATTGAAAGAGCTGACACTGAGTGACTCTCATGTGCCCAAGTGGACACAATGTCACGACCTCCTTTAGAGTTCATCCCAATGGTCTCACTAATTTGATTGTCTCTGAAGTATGTTTGACCTAAAGTCAAGTGAAGCTCAGCCTCCCTTGGCTTTTTCAGTGCAAGCACAGATGTGATAATTCCGGTAGCCAGAACTCTGTGCCAGAGTTGAGCAGGACATGGAAAAAGAGACATGGCAGCAATTAATGAAGTTATTGTTTAATATGTGTGATGGGATCAGTTGGTTCATATCTTCTTTCGATTACTTGGAAGAAAAGCCTAATAAAGAATAGTCACACAAACAAAAATTGTTATACAGAAAACTTTGTTAAGCCTACTAAGCCTTGTCTTCAGCTAGAAGACATGAAGGCATCAAAGGTTTGAAACTATTTTTACAGAGAAGGCAGGAAGCACCCTGTGCCCCTGCAGTGGAAGCTTTTCCCAGCCATTTAAGTACTGAGTTCATTGTCTCTCAGATTTTGCACTCATGATCTCTAGATCACTGCCAGATCTTTTAGTCCATTTAGAAATGTGAAGGCACGTCAGTAGAGGTAAATGCTCCAGAATGAGAGCTTTGTGTTGCCACACGCTCTGCGCATTGAAAAGCTGGCCTAAACAAATAGTCATAGTTTTGGTTGGTTTGGGATTAACTGCTAGGAAGAGCACCTGAACCCTCTGCTGAGCATGGCTCTGCCTGGATGCAGACCCTAACTGATACACATCTCCTACACACCACAGTTGAACCGTGAGTTGCTTAAGAAAAAGAACTGTTCGTAACCCATGGACCAGACACAAACTTTATGAAGGTCACATACTTCAAGATTAGATGTAGACTCCAAAAAAGCTGTATTGTCATGTGTTAGGTTACAACTGGGGGAGCAGAAAGGAAGGAGCCATATAGGGGAGAACAGAGTGCAAGATATGTGAGTACACAATATCAAGACTTAAGAGTTGCAGCCAGTAATCTGAGGATGAGAGAACTCATTAATTAAGTCCAGCAATAAAGGGAAGATCAGAGGGCACCCTTGCAAAATTTGCAAACACTTTCTAAGCCCATACAGAGTGTGGAGCTGCAAGAAAGCCAGAAGAGGCCTGCATCCATCAAAATTTCCAAAAACTTGACTCTAGCACCAAGGAAGTATGCAGGGCCACTTCTAATGTTCAGTGTTGCTTTATCTTTTAAACGAGGAGAGATATACATAATCTGTAGTATGAAATGACAGTGACCATAACTTAATAATACATGCCAATGTTTTTAGCGGGCTAATTTGACCTCCATAGCCAAGCATGGAAGTTCCTGTTGCTGTTGGAGATGCACTTGTCTATCTTCTGTGGAAAACATGTAAGACAGTGGGAAGGTGAAAACAGGTAAAAGATAGGATTAGTACAAGGTTGTCTTAACTAAAAAATACATTAACTCCTGTAAGTGAATGAGAGCTAGAGCACATGCATTTAAACAGTGAAGGAAACATGAATTTGAGACAGCTATTCTTCCCTGCCCCCTTTAAAGCAGTAATATCTGTGTTTTGAGATGTACATTCCTTTTGCCACTCAAGAGTATTCTGGAGTCTTTCGGAGACTCCTTAAGACTCATATTCTTCTGAACAATGCAGCAAAAAGAGGAGAAGTCCTTAATTTCTCTTACCCAGTACCATATGCCATCACTCAGATTTGTATTTCCCCTGTGCATCTGAAAGACAGTCGGGGGCAAAGGCACTCTCAGCAGTGGACACTTGAATTTAGTATCAGAACATCCCCCGGCCTTTCAGAGCTCATTGAGGTTGGCTTTTGAGCCACGCCAAAGTCACTCCAGCTCTGTGAAGAGTTCTTAGGCATAAGCACCTGGCACACTTTTCATCGTTGTTTTGTATTCACTGGAAATTCACATTAACATTTTCCATGTGTTCTGCAGCTCAGGCTCTTGGTGAACATTATCAGAACAGACGAGAGTCTCTGACCTCTTCCTGCTGCTGATACTGAGCCTGGAAGGACAGAGTGGGGATCTATTTTACCTCCAGACTGACTCAAGTAGCCAAGAGAATATGCTGTGCTGGTGTCTGGTTGTTATCCTTGTGATGAAGTATCAAATGGAATTGAGTGTTTCTATTTTCTCCATATAAATTGCTAATTTTTAGCAAGACTTTTAATCTTATTGCTACCTTTACCTTCACAGATCACCAAATTAGCACACAGAGTCTCATTACTGAAGGAACAGACATTTTTGATCATTCATGCTACTGCTGATGGTAAGTTAGCCTATCATTTGAGCTCATTATATGTTTGGGCTGGCTTTGATTTTTCTTAATTAAATTTGCCTCTTTAATGATTGTAATCTGTTTTTACAGAAAAAATCCATTTTCAGCATACTGCGGACCTCATCACACACCTAATTAGGGCAAAGGCTAATTACAGCTTGCAGGTACAGTATGTGTTTCCTTTCTTCATATTTGAACAGTTAGTTCCCACTTTGAACTCAAACTGCTGTTATAAAGTAAGCTTTGAAAAGCCAGTTGCAAGCACAGCCTGGTAGTAGAAATAGCACCAGCACATAATGTGTTCCTATATACTTGTTTTTATTTGATACCACTATTTTGGTTTAGGCAGTTGTAGAACAGTTATTAAATTACAGTAAATTAGATTTGAAGAGACATGTCTCTAAAGAATTGATGCGTGTTGACTTTCTTTGAGAACAACAGTCCAAATTCAGGATGAATTACAGGGAAACAGGGATCTATATTAAATCAGCCAGAAAAGTTAAGGAGAGAAATGTCACTTAAATTTGACATCATGCTGCAAACGACATACTCTGGTCTAGAAAGCTCCTTTCCACTGAATTACATCTCGGATTTGCTGAATGGCCCATCTACAAGCCATTAAAACTTCCAAAATGACCCCATCCACCAGCCGTGGGCATGGTCCCTACCCTCTGCTACATCCCAAGCTGCAGCCAGGAGAGCGCAACTAACCCAGGCTCAACCTATGCCAAGGGCCGTGCTACAGCTCACAGTATAGATGGTTGTGTTGCAGTGCCCAAGTTCTACTAGTGCTTGATTTACTGAATACCAGCTCCCTCTGGCTGCATTTCTGCAGAGCTTCATGCAATGGGTATGCTCACTCCATCACGCTCCAAAGGCAGATAGGATGGAGCACAGACACAGGAGCTAAGGAGTGAGCCTGGCACGGATTTGGTCAGCGCTACAATGACTGAGGTGCCCTGTACATTCCCCAGTGCAGGAGTGTTAGTACGTCAGAGCCTGAAGGCACTAATGGGCTTGATGTACATCAAAGGTTAGCTGAGGACTGAATGGAAGCCTGAGGGAACAAGTTACTCAGAGCAGCAGTGACACACCTCAGTCCTGCCTGCAAGCAGCCAGCCCTAGAAACTCTTTTTTTCCCCATCAATATCCCAGTCTAGACAACCTATTATGATTCTCTTGCTTTACTTCAACATGTGCAGAAGTTACGTGTTGTATTTAAACTATTTAATTTCTAGCTTCCTACATTTTTTCTATTTAATTACTTCTCCATCAAGCTTTATTTCAATTTTTTTAATTAATGACATTTTTTCTTTAAAGCCTTTAATTTAGTCAGTAAAACCTAATGCCATTTCTCTTGCAGGCTTGCACTGGGGTTTTTTTCAGTTTTCACAAGGAGCAAGTGCTGTTATTTTTAAGTGTGGTCTGGTTCTGCTTAGCCTGAAATTGTTCAGAATGGAATTAAATAGAAAACTCTTCCCCAGAAAAATTCTTTTTGAAGGAAGATGCAAGTCTGCACTCAGACTGCTTTGGTGCCTGAATTACCCCAGACTTCATGTGGATCCATGGAAAGACGTGCAGTGCCAAAGAGGAGCAATGGGTTTGCAGGCCAGCTCGAGTTGCAGATACAGGTAGTCAGTCCTGAGACTTGAAGCTCCTCATGTTGTGTATTTCCTTGTTTCTTTGCAGATTTACCCTGATGAAAGCCATTACTTTAGCAATGCAGCATTGGAGCAGCATTTGTACAACTCCATCGTCAACTTCTTTGTAGCGTGTTTCCAGGTTCAGGACAAACTCCCAGTAGCCCCACTGAAAGAGGAGGAGGACGACGATTAACCCTATTTGTCCGTGCTAAGCACAAGGCAGATCTCTCTAACAATATGCAACTGGATCATTTTCCTGAAGAAAGAGATGTTACGTTGTTAGCATGTATTTAAAGAAAACTGAAAGCAGTTCATCTGCTTTACTTGACAGCAACTCCTTCCTAAATGGAAGAACATTAAGCATGGTGAACTCAGCAGAAACTGCTGTCTGAAATTAGTCCATCACAACCAACATCTTCTTTTTCTTTCTTGTTTTTTTTTCCCGCCCCCCCTTTATTTTCTTTTGTTTTTGTTTGCCACAAAGTGACTTTTAGCATGACAGTGCCAAGACATTGAACTTGAAGGAACACCCCAAGAAACCACTCTGAGGACCAGAAGATTTAATGTCTCTTTGCATTCAAGCAATCAAGCAGTAGCAGTGAAATCTGTCATCCATATTTAGGTTACTATAGTTAGCATCACACTGTGTCAGAAAAAGATCTAACCTAATACATGGAAAAGATTATAGCACAATTATTTTAAGAGATACTGATTCATACATATTTGCCTGCTCTTTCCCATGTTCAGAAGGTTTCTCATTGCTACAGGACACACAAATTCAATTGTACAAAATATCACTATAGTTACACCAATCTTTACCTTCCTGTAGTTGTTTCTTAATTTTGCATAGCTTTTACTTCTGTTTTCATTGGGTCTCATGCTTACCTTATTAGCTTCTCAACTTGTTCTGGATGGGGAAAAAACACACTGAATTAACCAACTCACTTTAGACCTTGGGAGTCTAAAGAGACCATGAGGGTCGAGGTACCCAGACATTAAAAAAATCTATTAGACTAAAGCAAAGGAAATCTCACTCTCATGTTCCCGGCACAGCCTTTGCCTGCAAGATTGAGTATTTTCTTTGTAAGCCTTGAAAAATATGCACATAAATAAGCTAAATCAGCTTAACATTGAGATATTTTTATTGTACTTCAGAAAAATATGCGACAGTCACAATTATTTTTTTTTTCATTTAGTGTTGGAACAATTGGTTGGCAGCCTGTTGGAAAAAGGCTAGATGAGGCTATGGTAGCAGGAATTTGTACCAGATACTTCACAGATCATCTCATAAAGCCATTTAAACAGAACCAATGTGCAGAGACTTATTGCACATGCTGTCTGTGGCTTAGTTTTATTCCAGGTCAATGATTAGCGCATTCCAAACATGTTTAATTATCTCTTCTGCTCACACTGGTTTTGCCAAGCATAAAAGAAAGAAAAAAAAAAAATGGGAGCATTTTTGCTTTAAAATGTCTAACATTTCATTACAGCAGTGCAAAGCAACTTTTAAAACTTCTCGTGAAAACATTCAACTCCCAGAAAGAAATCTAACCTTCATTCACTTCCACTTACCGCATCATAAGAATTTTGACTAGTGTCGCTCCTTGTAAAATATTCTGACCAAATGTACAGCCAGTATTAATACTGTATATTTCATTTTGTTGTATATAAAGGAATGTAAGTCAGTTATTCGTCAGGTCCCCGATCCAATATTAGTCTTGTGTTCGGCATGCATGCGATAACAGTTCTTTGCTGATCAGGACTCTTTAGAAGTACTCGCTTGGAATTATAACAATTAATGTAATTTCTTTTCTTGTTTTGACAGCTTGGATGTCAATACCGGTTTCTACTTTTTACATAGTACTGTGGGTAAACTCACATCCTGACAGCAATGACGATGTTTCCATTGTGTTCTTTAGTGTGTCCTTTTTATTATCTTTATTTTAAGCTTTGAATGTTGGTTGTACTTTGACCATCATGAAAAATATATTGATAAACCACAGAGATTACCTAGTTTGGTTTTGATTACCTTCTTTAATTTACAGTGCATCGACTTTGTGTGAACAAGAACTACGGTATAAATCTGCTTTATCCGGCAAAATGCCAAATAGACAATGAGAATGCTGCGTGTCCAGATTTTGCTACATCAAACAGGCTCAAAAGCCTGAAATGAACTTGACCTGAGAAATGTAAAAATCTGCTCTGTCCACAATCTTTTGTAGAAAGAACTTTAGGATGTGGCATGGTAGTGTTTGTTCATTCATGGAATAAAACATTATTTTACCACTCTGGTTGCTACTGCTGTTATTTAGTGTTAAGTACTTAAATAAGCATCATGTTGCTGGAAGTGCTATTTCTGCTGAACTGAGCCCAAACTCCAGGGTGCAGATCAGAAAAATTGAAACAAATCTTTATAAATAAATATACATCGCCATTTAGTCTGCCTCTAACTTTGGTAAATGGTGTTACTGTGGTAAGTGGTGACTGCTTTTGAGAAAAACATGAAGTAGCACAAAATGGGTTCAATCCCAAAGTAGCAGTTCATGAGAATACCCCTGTGACCCCTAGTCTTTGGTAAAAATGCACCTTTCCTCCCTTTCTGCCTGCTGACGTGTCATACGGGCTTCCTGAAGGCATCAGTCAGGTACAACAGCTTGACCAAAGGGATTTTTGCCATTTCATCCATTGTGCCTTTCCCCAAAAGGCGCTTGGGGGTTATGAAGTGGGAACAAAACACCAAAACTTACTGAGTCTGCCATAGCAGATTTTTCTACAAATGATTCTCCATCAGGAAAGGAAGCAAGAGGAGGCAATCATCCCACCCAAATTCAGATATTTGTTGCCCTTCAGGACAAGAGGAGAGCCGTATTACCTGCCAGTGCCATCTTCAGACACCTCCCTCGAACAAGCAGCAGCTTTTCCGTGTGCCCATTTTTCTTTGTTGGCTGTGGGGTCAGGGGAGACTATCCCAGACTGAAAGAGCTAGGGGACAAATTAGGGCCATCCTTAGCTGTCCCCTGTAACAGTACTTTGTGGACTGCAAGATCAGCTGGATGTTCCTACACCTTCTTTACACCTGGAAATGAAATCCTTTCATTTCATAGATTTCCTGGGAAAATGGAGATTTTTTCCTCAAATTAGAAATCTTGGATATGACTCTACCCTACAATACACTGTCTTCTTCATCTCAAGCAATAACTTCAGGAAGGATTTAAATCGTACAAACCCCCATGTCTCTAGGCCTAATAAAGACATTAAAGACCTTTTAACCGTAAAAGACTAAAACATGTATCCAGGCTGTGAAGCTAAGCAGCCGTCTGGAGGTACAAGGATGCTTTCCAGTGGCACCTGCTGACTTGCTGCACCTCGTCACTGTTCAGGGTGATGTCTCATCATCAGATACCAACTCACCTGAACCAGATTCACAGGAATAGAAATTTAATATTTCACAACAGAATGAGAAATTATTATGGACACTTACTCTAATCTTCTTTGCTAGCAAATCAGGAAGCAAGAAGCTTGAGCACTGGTAACAGGGCAGGTAGATTGCACTAGTGCAAAATAGCTTTGTTGTTATTTTGCTTAATTACCTAAATGTAACTAATATTTTTTTTTATTGTCCAAACAAATCAAGCTTATACTTTCAACTAACTGGCATTTCTTGATGCCATAATGTTCAACTGTGGCATCCCAAAGCAGAAGAGAACTAATGAACAGTGCTCTACTAATTCAGAAGAAAACCACTAGAGGGAAAAATGAGGCATTGCTGGTAGCTAATTAACAAAGCCAGGCAGCCAGCCATGTTTGTAATTGTCTATAGGTTTGGGCACGGAGCATATAAACCCATCCAAGCTCTGCCCATGAGCTCAGGCCAAATAAATGCTGCATCTCTGAAGGGTAGGAAGGAAAAAAAAATGAGTGAAGGAGAAAGGATATGTCAGATACTCACAACACCTTTCCCATGGGAAGACCAGTGGAGAGTGCTGTTAATGGGGAAAAATGGGTGTCTAGTGGGGCAGACAAAAGGAACGGGGCCTGTGCCGGTACCCTCATGGAACTGTGCTGGTACCTGGAGAGGTGCTTTTCCTCTCATGCTCATGTTGTGTCTCCAAAGCTCGCTCAGGTTGGCAGTGGTAAGGCACTGGATGTTTAACGTTGCATATCGGGTTGTAGGGCACAGCTGCCCCAGTCCTTCCTGGGGCTGCCGTAAAGCTTCCAGACATGCCTCTGTGAGGGCTCGGCTGAGGACACCTTCGTCCTTTGCCTGGGTAAGTGCTGGCTCCACTCAGTGCTCATTCTTCCCTGGACTTCTTACCTGCTTTCCATTTGCAGAAGAAGAGGAAAAGGCAAAAATTGAAAAGGTAACAGAAAAACCTCAAGATCTCAGTTGCCAGTTCCTTAATCATGGCCTCTTACTGAACCAGCTGTTTGCTTATTTCTACTTTGCTCCCCTAACTTAAGCTCCTGGCTGGAGGCTCAGAGCAGAGATAAGGGCACTTGCTAAGACCTGTTTCCTCTTCTCACCTCATCTTTCTGTCTTCTTCCCATTCAGCATGGCTAAAGTCTGAAAGCAAGCCCAGCACTCCCTTGGAAACTAGAAAGAGACAAATATAAAAGCAGTGTCGTGAGCCCTCCCAATAAGCCATAACCAAAATGAATTCTTTATTCTAATAGCAAATTCATGCTTGTCCAGTGTCCTTTGCTTGGTGCTTATTCTTTTGCTGTGAGGGAATGAGAAAGAGAAGATTCCCAAAGATGAATTATTTATCCCTCTACTGCATGAGGCGACCTGCTATGAAGATACCTGCTGATCTGTCTCTCCCCGCTCCCACCATCCAGCCAGCTTTCTTGCAGCCTCAGCCTTTCCAAACCTGTGGTGAGTGCAGAGCCGTGCAGCTCACAGAGGGAAGGGCGGGGTATTTGGGAAGGATAGGAGACCATGTCATGATATTCAGGTTTTGACATAGGACAAGATGAGGATAGAGAGGCCTGTAGCCAACCACCATGTCCAGTTGTGGCGTTTCAAGTTGTGAAGGGTCCCACATTGCCCTCCCCTGCCCACTGCATCTGCTGCAGACAGATGGGACACTAAAACCCAGGGGGGCTCATGCCTCTCCTGTTGGAAGAGTCCACCAGTTTAATATAACCCTGAGCAGGACATCACCCATCACCTGTGGCAGATGCCAGAAGCTTTGGTCTTCCCTCATTTTTGGCACCCTCTACCTAATTCGGCTGCAGAGCCGAGGGGAAAGGAGAACACATGTAGTATGTATGACAGGAGAACTGGGTAAGCAATGATCCCGCTCTCCAGAAGCGGCTGCCAGAGTCTTTGCTAAACATTAACAGAGGCAAATCTTCAACTGTCTCAATGTCACGACACCAGTGTGACCCTGTGTCTCTTTTAGAAACATCCCAGTGTGGGACTCAGGTGCTCAGATGTTTATATAAGAACTGGAGTTTTCATTTCCAAAACAAGCCCCAAAAGCCAACTGTTGTCTGCAACTTTTTCTGTGTGGTTGTAACACTCTGAAAACACCATCTAGCTTTTCCACTACAGCTCAAGAAATGGAGGGCCGAGGACACACATTTACTGAGTCCCCTCAGCGTGATTCACCTTGGCTGACCATCTCCAATGGGGACAGAGGGAAAGCAGAGGGACCTCTTGGGACATGGACCAGTGGGAGAGGAGAAACCACCCTTCCTGCCACTTTCAGGCTGGTGTGAGGCAGCTGGGGACAGGTCTCTAATGCCCCAGTGTTGGACCTGCTCCAGGATGTGGGAACCAGCTTCTCCCCATCCCACAGCTGAACGCAAGACCACCCTCCCAGAGAGGTCTTGCGTCCTTTATTTGGACACAATAATCAATGTCCTTTGTAAGCAACAATTTCTGCTACAGCAGTTGTGTTGCCAGCAGCTGTGAAAGGGAAGATTCAGAAATACTTTGTAAAATGGATTTTTTTCTTCTTTTTTTTTTTTTTTTTGCTTCAAGACATTCATTAAAAGCCTCATATTAAATGAAGCTACATTCTGCCTCCTCACTGGGATAACAGCTTTAATCAAAATGTCCATTTCTATGATCGAGAGAGAAGAAGAGTAAAAAGCAAATATAGATGGAACAAGGCCCCAGGAATGCACAGAAGTAAATAGTGCTTACGTATTCCCGTGGAATAGCAAGGTTCACTCATGGGTTTTTTCCCTTCCTTCATAATAAATGTACCTTTTCAGTTATTTTAAAGCAACAAACTTTGTTTTGAGCTGATGTGAATGCTCTCATCCTTGCTGGTGAAGGTATCTGAGCCTTACATGGTTTTTGCAACCCTGATGTCCTGAAATGTTGATTGTGCTGAGCATTTCCAGTAACTCGAACTGACACGTAATTTTTAGTGAGCATTGGTAACCAGCCTGCACAAGCTCCCAAGTACCTGCTCCCCACTGCCCTGTCTTGGAGCACCTCGAAGTGGGGTAAATCCTTCACCTGGAAAACCAAACCCGGAGCAAAACATGAACAAGGCAAATCCCCTGCTCCATGTTCTGCTCTGAAACACCACAGGAAAAGAGTGTGGAGACTCAGGAGCCCATCAGGGCAGTCCTCTGTGATAGTTTCTGGCTGATTTGTCCCCTGTAAATTCACATTTGGATGCACAGAAAACAGGAAATTCAGGATGTTGTTTTACCTGTACTCAGCTCCTTCTTCATCAAATCAATGTAGCCATCACATGAGGCATGGTACACGAGGAAATATAGCCATCACGAGTCTGGCATGTACCCTTAAGTTTGCCACCTATTAAAAAATGTTTCAGAGAAAGGAGGAAAGACAAAGAAGAGCCCGGAGATGAGATGGTCCATCCTGAGATGGAGTCCCTCCCCTGATATGGTTAGGGTTATGCCCATGAAAAAAAAGAGACCCTCCACCCCAGATATTTTCAGTGTGTCCACTAAGAGAGGTCCATGAAAGTCAGATGAGAAAAGCAAGCCTAACATCAAAAAGCTTCAATTTACTAGCTAGCAAGCCTCAGCAGGAAATCTTAAGGAGTCTAGAAATCAAAGTGAGTTGAAAACAGTTGAGATGTGGCTCCCAGCTGTTCCCCCAAGGCAGAGGCTCTGAGCTGCTCATCACAGCCTGCACACTCGGAGCTGCCAGGAGCAAGAAGCTCTGCACCCATGATGATGCTGAGAGTGCTGGAGAGGAACAGAAAGGGAGACATTGTCACCCAAAAGCTGCCAGCCATGCCAGCAATTTTATCCTGAATCTTGAGTTCATGAAAGTTAATGGTCACTGAGGAAAT